GCCGCCATGTGATTGGCTGCTTAGAAATTAAGTGTTAACGAGCAGTTGGACAGGTGTACCTAATAAAGTGGCCGGGGAGTGTGGATATATATATATATATATATATAAATATAAATAAAATGCAACTCTGCAATTATCCAGGGGACTCTGGTTTCATTTGTTGTCATTTCATCCAAAGAAAGAACAGTCAGAGACTCTATGTGAGATCAAGCTAAAAAGACTTGCAGCCTGAACTGAAGACAAAGGAAAGGTCATCATTTATCCCTAAAGGGATCAAACTGCTCTACTTAGTGCCGCTCTGTCACATAAAACCCACAATAAAAGGCTGAAAACAGATCATTATAAGGAAATATTCAGACTGACCGGCCTCCAAGCAGGGCTCCTGTTTCTCAAAGTATTCCGGAGCCATGATCTTCAGCAGCGAGTGGAAGAAGGTCACATACGGCAACTTACTGATTAGGACCAGAGACTGAAGAAATGCAAAAACAGAGAGAGAAAAAGCTGGTGTTAGGAATCCTCACATTCACCGAGAACAAAGGAACATCTAATTGGGAATCAATTGGATCTAAAAGGTGGCAGGAATTGTGGAATATCTGAAGCAACGATCTATAAAAGCAGAGCTATATAAACATTTTTAAAATGATTCCTATTCTAAGTCCCTGTGATGTTAGGAGATGACTGAGGGCTAATGCTATGTTCAGATCGCACGCTGCAGAAGCAGCAAGTTTACATGAAAAGTCAATGGTTGACACGCATCAAGGCGCAGCAGAAAGACCTGCAGCGTGTTGTGAGCAGCTGAAGCAGCGTCTCATGAGCTTCTGAGAATCTGACGCGCTTGAGAAGCAGCAGGTGCTGGAGTTGGAAAAAAATGAACTTTTGCTGCTGGATGCGTCACATCAACCAATCAGAGAAGCAGATCTGGGAGCTGACAGCATGGGGGTGAGTAGAAAATGAAGGCTAATCATGTTTTGGGTGTACTATTCCTTTAATGCTTCCAGGCTAACCTCAAAGCCAAGGCTAACAAAAAACAAAACTTCCTGCTCACCTGGAAATTATTCCAAGACTTTAAAGAGGGGGAGTTTTCCCGTTTTACACACTGTTCAATCTGCAAACCATCCAGCTTTAATTAAATGACCCTAACCCAGGAAGCCAAAGCCAGAGTAGCTAATGTTGTCTGAAAGTTATTTAAAACACTAGACTGCAGTGAATCGTCATCACAGACGGATGGAGTCGGACTGAAAACTGAACTCGGCTGCAGACCATAACCAACCTTCTGGAAGTATCCTCTCTTCAAGGATTTGTCTCGGACCTGACGAAAGTACACGTAACCGTAGTAGTGGCCTTGTTCCCGCTGAAACAGACAGCACAGCATAGAAAGAGGCGTTAGGAACAGGAGAGCGATGAGGCTGGTGGATGACTGAGAGCTGATCGCGCAGCCGGCACCTTCAGGCAGGGCGGCGCATCTCGGTCTGTGTTCTCCAGGAAACAGCCCAGTGACGACTTCCTGTTGGAGCCCTGGCGGAAGCGGAAGCAGAACTGTGTGTCGCCAAGGCAACCTGTAAAAACAACACAAAGGGGGGGATTTCACAGAGGCCGTTTCTCAATCTGTGTACGCCATCAGCCCTAGACCTGCTCCAATTCACAAGAAGACCAAGAACGGACAAACTCCTCCAATGTT